TTTTCTCTACAGTTTCTGAAAGAAAAATGTACAAAGTTGTATTTCTGTGGTAAATTTGTGGGGCTTTTTTTTCCTAGATATGTTTTCGTACATGATAATTATGTATAATACTAGAAAACATCAAGAGATCCAGACTCATCTTTTCCATTTATAATCACTGAAATTTCATTCAGTGGAGAAAAATGTTAGTCTGTGCAATTGGAGGGGGAGGATAGGACAAATTAGGAGGAGCTGTTGATTCCCTCGAGGATAGAGAGGTCTTAGAGAGACAACTTGATAGATTAGAGTGCTGGGCAATTGCCAGCCTTGTGAAATTCAAGAACAACAAATGCTGGATTCTGTACCTGGGACAGTGTAATCTTGGGTGCAAGTATAGACTGGGGGTCAAGAGGCTGGAGTGCAACTCTGCAGAAAGGAGTCTGGAGGTTTTGGCTGATGGTAGGTTCAATATGAGTCAACAGTGTGCCCTGGTGGCCAAAAGGGCCAACTATGTCCTGGGGTGCATTAAGCACAGTATAGCTAACTGATCGAAAGAAGTATTGGTCCCACCATACTCAGGACTGGTGCAGCCTCACCTTGAGTACTTGTGTTTGGACAGTTAGGTTAACATTTAGGTTGCACTATGTAGAGTCAGGAGTTGGACTCTATGATCCTCATTGGTCCCTTCCAACTCAGGTTATTCTATGCTTCAAAGCATATTCTGTTTTATCATTTTGTAGTTTCATTTCTGAAGGATGTGTGCCAGGAAAAATAGTATTAATGCAATAAACTGTGCATGATGTTTGTATATAAGAGGTTACTGCTGCACTTAAGCAACTTGACTGCCTTCCTGGCTCTGCTATGAGTGTGCTATCAGTCAATGTTTTGATCTTTTCATAGTGCCAATCATGGAAATTTAAAAGGTCCAAAATATATAAAAGTAGTTTGACTTCAGTGTTGTAATAATAGTCTTAAACTCCACTCTCCACCAGTAATAATGCTGTAATTATGACAGCTTTGCTTAGCTAACTTTAGAGATTAATTAATTCCAACTTTTCCTTGTTTTGTTTTAGCTAATAACACTGCTTGTTTTATTCTGAGTTATTCTAGTTGTGGGGGAAGTATCTGAGCAATCCCTAGACATGCATGTATTTGGTGTTCTGCCACTACTAAGTAGCTTTATTTTCACCTAAAGAGGATTTATTTTTTTACAGAAATATTTGATTTCATAGTTTAAAAAAAACCCATGAAACTTTCTGTGTTTTTTATGAGTAACAGTATAAAATTACATTTTTATATATGTATGTCTAGTATTGTACTTTCTTTTGTGTGACTATATAAAAAAAGACATTGGATCCAGTTCTGTTCCCTTACAGACTTCTAGAAAAGTTGAAGATAGGAGTAAAAATAGTTTTAATTCAGCACCATTGAATCGCAGTTTTTGCAAATTTTAGTATACCTTTTCATCTCCAAATACAGTTTATCAGCCTTAGGCTGACAAAGCCTTAGTACACTGCCACACAATTAAAGAATCACAAAGAATCACCAACTCCTTTGGGTTTATTTTCTTGTTTGTCTATATATTGCAATTGTTTATAGACTCACGAAGAGTAAATATTCTGAAGTACTGTTTTCTCTAATGTAATGCAGATGGCTTTATCAGCATGTTTTCTTTCCAATTGTGTATGATTTTAATTGCTACCTAAACTCCCACTAAAGAATTACAAGCTTCAAGTTTTACCTATTTTTAAAACCGAGTAGATGATACAAACATGTTCTTACCATCTCAGTGGCTATGTTTGTATTTGTTACGACCTGCCCCAGGAAGGGGTTGGGTGGGTGGGTAATCTAGGTTCTTATTAATAAATCCCTTGGGGTGGATTAGAGTGAAACGACACTAAATAATCGGTGTTTGAAAACATATATATGTAGGGTTTATTTCAGAACAATTTTGTTTCAAAGGCAAACAGGTATGTTGCCATTTTGGGTGTTATCACCTATATCTCTCATCTATAGCAATATGGCATAAAGATAACCTTTAGGGAAAATGCATAAGGGAGAGAATGGAAAGACAGGATAAGGGTAAGGGAGATTAAGGGAAAGAAAAAATGAGAGTGGAAAAATGCATATAGTCACTGGCCACAGGGTCCAGTGATGGAACTTGGTAGTTTCAACTTCCATGTTTGTCAGTTGAAGTGGTGGTCTTGATCCGTTGGGGATGGGGGAGGGAAGCCCACACACTCAAAGAAGTTATGAGTTATTATATCCATCGATAGTGTCACGGGCCATGCTGTGAGCCTCCAAGGTCTCCTGGACCTGCACAGAGTTCCTATGAGGGGCATGGTAAAAAAGGGTTTTTCCTACCTTTCAGGATTGGCGGGGGGATGGGCTTTGATGGGCCAGCAGTCGCCTCTTCCCAACCTGCAAAAGTCCCCTGGTATCCTAGAATGCGTAAATCATTAACAGTTTCTGTCTCTGACAGTATTTTTTGATTTTTTTTGAGTAATATGGATTTCCTCTTAAAGAAACAATATTTTGACCAAAAATGGAAGTTACTTTGTATTCCAATGATTTAGAGGGTTTTGATGCAAATGATTTTCTTATGTATTAGTTAAAACAAAGTTTTTAATAAGATTTAATCCTGTCAAAATGTGTACCATATACTATTCTGTGCTTTATGGGTTCATATTGAACAGACTCTTGTACTAAATGTGGGACATATCTTTCAGGAAAAAATGGAAAATATTACAGAATTATTAAGACAATGTGCAATATGGTGTTTTATTTCACTTCATATATATAAGAACATGACTCCATTGTGTAGGTTTCAGAAAAAGGGAAAAACTGAAATCTGAGGGTAGCCTGAAACATTTATTTTTTTTAGCATGCAGTAGTTCTACATTGCCTGAGTCTGTAATTTTATAAACTCTTGAAAAAAAGTAACATTCTCTTCCTTCTGGTAGATTACATCCTGGTGGTCGGTTAATGCCCTGAAGAGATGGTCTGTATATTTGGTGCTTTGCTCTTGATCACAGTAGTCTGGGGATCATAGTGAAGGCTGATTGTAGATGCAGGTTTGGTCTAACCTTTCAACTCTGGAGAAGTTTCATTGCAGCAACAACCATTTGTGTTTCCACAAAAAAAGTAAAATAGGCCTGTATATAACATTGTGCTTGATTTTCTGGGAATGTGTGTGTAAGGAAGACTTGTGTTAAAAGTTTGGTTTAAACATGGGGGAGATGGGGCTGAAGGTTTCAAAACAAAAATCCACAGTGTCACGGTCTGTTTGGATCTCAAATTTTCAGGACAACATACTCTGTGATTTAAACTTTATATCATGGTCTCATTAAGAAATACAACAAACGGGCTCAATCCCCTTTTGACCAGACTACTCTATTATGTGAATTCACTTATTCACCATTGAAGTCATAAGGTTTCATAACTTAAAACCCATAACTCTTAATATCGTGTACCTATGAGCAAAAGGAAAGAATTAGTTACCTAACCAACAGTGAGAATGCTCATCCTTTCTTTTCCATCATGGTGAGGGCGTCTCCTGTATCATATGAAAGCCTCAGCAGTCCAGCTGCTGTTGGAGCCACTTCAAAAGATTTTTGGATAAGTTTATATTTTATACCCTCCAACTTGGAGATTTGGTCTATACCATTTCCATAATTTAGCAGATTCTGATGAGACTGCCAGACAAAAGATAATGGCTGAAGGACACAACAATTTGCAGGTGATAATGGTTGAATATTGTCCCTTTAGCTCTTCCTGGCCACCTGTCCTGCCTACCTGATGCTTTGACTTTGACCTAATGGTGCTGCTCCCAGCATACCTCAGGCCATAGCAGGAGTTGAATGAACAGTCATGCATAGTAAAGACAAAATCTTTTAGAGACTTCAAGGTTATATTTTGTGGTGTACTACCTGAAGTACTTAAGAGTTACAATCACAGAATCATGCTTTACCCTTGCATTGCACTGCTTGTGAAATACATTGCTCTGAGACACCTAAAATATCATGTAAAACATAAGGCTTTCTTTGTCCTGGGAGCCAAATATTAGATCATAAATGAGGCCTGAAAGTTTTATAAAAATGATCAAAATAAAATCTAGGTTGAAAGGTAAAGAAGTACTGCACACAGGTAAATGCATTACATTTCTTAGGGAGTTAAGAAGCTAGGTGAACATACAGCATTCTGTGCAACTGTTTGCTTTAAATTTCAATTCCTCCTTATAAGTTATTCATATGATTTGTTTGCTTAGATAAACTCTCCTAATCACAGAGAGAGTGAATTGGGCCAAAGGAAAAATGCTGTGTGATATATTTTGTGTGAAATTCCAAATAAGCAAATCTTAACTTTAAATTGTTAAACATGCAGAATGTTAATTTATTTGTGCTTTGTGTAAAGTACAAAGATGCAAAGAAATTTAAAGAAAGTAATGACTCCCTATTAACAAATATGAGCCAAATTTTACTTAAAACTGATTTTATATATTTCTGAGGTTGAAGTTTGCACAACTGTAATTGTTATGTCTTTCTAACAAATTTATGTATTGGTTGTATATTGCTGTTTAAGATAATGTCATGAAAGTTGGCCAAGTAAGCTATTTTTTTTTTTTTTTTTACTCTTAATTTTTGTGATAGAACATCTCATAGAAATTCCCTATAGTTGAGAACTATATCTTCAGGAATGGAAATTTATGCTTATAATTTTAAATACACAGTGGTGTATTCTAGATTTTTTTGAGAGTATATTTTGCTTTAGTTATTAGTTTAGTTATTAACTCATTGCTATCTTTTTTATTTCTACTTCTATTTTGTCTTCAAAATAAAAGTTTCAATTCATTGTTGCTTCAGTTGTTACTGTGTTACTGCTGTTTTGATATTGAACTGATCCTTGTAGGTAGCACCATAACCACTTGACAGAGTTCTACCCTGCACTGAACAAGCTGTCTGCTTTGTGCAGAAGTCATGTTTGTGTCCAGTGACTGAAGTATATTCTTCTTTGTCTTGCAGGCACAGGAGAGAGTGGCAAAAGCACGTTCATCAAACAGATGAGAATCATTCACGGATCAGGTTACTCTGATGAAGACAAAAGGGGATTTACAAAACTGGTGTACCAGAATATATTTACAGCAATGCAGGCCATGATCAGAGCCATGGATACCCTGAAAATCCCATACAAGTACGAACATAATAAGGTGAGATTTTTGTTTATTTCCATAGTTGAAACTTTTCCTCTTTTATCTTTAGGAAATGTACTGAAGGTCTCTAAAAATTTTAAATCACATACAAATTATATTTTACCTAAAGTTTAGAAGAAAAGTGCTTCTTCCAGTCCTGCCTCTAGTTCTCTGCCCTTTGCACTGCTCTGACAACAGAGGTGCTGTTCTTAACAAGACTGTCTAGAGGGTTTATTATTGTGAGAAGGTAAAGGGCAGGCTGGTGTTTGCCTGTGACAGAGTTGCTTTGAATCCCTTTCACTTCTCTAATTCTCATGTACATCAGAGTTCATGAAATGTATGCCTTGGCTGGGGCAAGTAATACTGTGAAAAAACCTGTTATGATTAAGGTATTTTCGTACTAATTAAGTTTTATTTCAGGTTGATGACTTTGCATTTGTCTTCACTTGACCAATAGGGCAGTGTAGCAGTTGTATTAATATAATAAATAAAAGGTCCTTGGGACTAGGCAGTGACACCAATGTGGTGTGTAACAAATGCCTTGCTTTATTGGAAGAGACAAGAGCTTATATAGTAGTTTCAAATGGTGACACATCACAACACATGACCTTCTCAACCAATCTTATACAAACATTCAACTGTACATGTTTGATAGAGTACTTAAAAACTACAACTCCCAGGATGCTTTGCTAGCACCCATCCCATAACCAGACCCCACAGGGCAGAGTTTAAATTTGGTTTGTTTTGTTTTAGTTAACCTTGTTACCTAATTTGTATACAGTGTAACAATAGATTGCATGTCCATGTTTTGCAAATTTTGAGTTTTTCTTGAACATTTTCAAAATGTAACTTATGTGCCAAGTAGTTTGCTTGAAGATGTTCCTCTATTTTTAGATTTTTTTTTTAATAAGTTATGACCCTTGTTTTGAGAACATATGCTCTCAGTATGTATTGTTGGCTGTACAAGCAAATAAATGCACGCTCCTGGAGCGTGCATACGTTCTTTGCATCTTGCCTCCAGTCCTTATCCAGTTATTTTTTGTTGACCAGAGAACCAAATACTGTCAATTGTATGAGTTATACAAAAAAGTAACTGTCACTGGAGCTTAAAAATGTCTTGGGCACACTTACTTCCTTTCTGGACTCTGGTACAACCATATACTGGGCGAAGAGAAAATGGAAATATACCATGGAGTAAAGAGGTATTAACACTGCAGTTGTGTAACCCTGGTGAATCCCATAGCAGTCTTTGGGGTGCCAATTGTACCACTTCATGACTGTTTTGATATTTTGATTTGTGTTTATCCAAAAAAAGAGAAAAAGACAGAGATCAAAATTATTGACTTAGGATTTTGTTTGGTCATATATTTTTCTTACCTAGTCTATATCTATTTGTAATCCACAGAGGTTATGCTGTGTATGTTGTAGAATAAAAGCACCATCTTGACCTTGTGGAAAGTCTGACAGCAAACTTGTTTTTTCTAACTGTACCAGTTATAGGGCCAGACTATGTCATTTTACATTTATTAAGAGGAAATCAAAATGGAAATCAAATTTTTGTGTGTGCATTTCTATTAGTGTGTTACCTAAATGGCTGTGAGGAAAAAAGACTCCAAGCCAAATTAGGTAGGAGATAAGATAAGGATACAAAAGTTTTAATGAGCCCCCAGGCTTTCTGGAATACCCTCAGCGCGCTCCCTGAAATACAGATGTCCACAGTTTTTATAATGATTTTCGCCCAATCCCCGTCCTGTTACCACCCAGGTTCTGCCCCCGCCACGCCTCTTGGAAATTGGGTCTGGGGACGTTTTGAGACCCTCTCTTCTTCATCTTCATCTTCCTCAGAGCACATAATGTCCTTGGAGGCCTTCCAGAATTCTAGGCCTGAAGGTTGTTGGGTCTACGGCTATATCTTGTTCCGTAGGGTTAGGGTGTTCTTCTACCATACTACCTTGAAAAATAGACTAAACAGGCTATGGAATTTAGGGAATTGATATGGGAATGGGTAACAGGGGTTTGAGCTGGTGTGTTAAGGGTAAAGGGATAATATGTTGCTACTCTAAAATCTACATTTACTACATAACTACTTCTAAGGTCTACAAAAATAAAAAAAATCAAAACATCAAAACTCCAAGGTATCAGTGTGTTTATTCAATTATGATTATTTTTGAGGTAGTCCAGTATTTTATTCTTGTATTGGGTTTGTGTGGCAAGGTTTTGGTAGCAGGGGCAGTACAGTGGTGGTTTTTGGGAGAAACTACTACAAACTTCTCCTATGTCTGATAGAGCCAATACCAGATCGCTCCAAGACAGACTCGCTGCTGGTCAAGGCTGAGCCAATCAGTGATGGTGGTACCACCTCTGGGATAACATATTTAAGCAGGGAAAAAAACCCTGCACAACAACAACTGCGGCTGCAGCCAGAGAGAGGAGTGAGAATATATGAGAGAAATGACTCTGCAGACACCAAGGTCAGTGGAGAAGGAGGGGCAGGAAGTGCTCCAGGCACCAGAGCAGAGGTTCCCCTACAGCCTGTGGTGAAGACCATGGCTGTGCCCCTGCAGCCCACAGATACAGAAAATTGTTAGTAAAGTTAAGCCTGGGAAGAAGGGTGGGGGGAGATGTTTTTAAGATTTGTTTTTATTTCTCATTATCCTGCTCTTTGTAATAAATTAAACCAATTTCCCCAAGTCGAGTCTGTTTTGCCCATGATAGTAATCCGTGAATGATCTCTCCCTGCCCTTATCTCAACCTACGAACTTTTTGTTATATTTTCTCTCCCCTGCCCATCTGAGGAGAGGGAGTGATAGAGATGCTTTGGTGGGCATCCAGCCAAGGTCAACCCACCACAATTCTTTACTGCTGGTTCTGCTCAACTAGGTGCTTGACATTGGAGAAATATGGTAGATCCAATAATTCAAAGCTCCTTCAAGGATCATTTAAAACATGAATCTGCTGAGTACAAAACAGGTATCGCCTTTACACCTGCAGGGTACACTCAGACTACACTAGAATTTGTAGTTGTGCAGAAACAGGATTTCTGTCTCATCTAAGTATTTTAATTGGTGTTCTGACATAACAGAACTTTTCTGCAGTGTATTCCAGTATTTCTTTTGAACTGGGTGTAGACTGAAAGGTAATATGTTATCAATACAGTTTTTCAGAAACTTAAAAGATGTGAATAGTTTGGTTTGGAAAGGTTCTTTACTGTTATGATTTTTATTAAGTGTTAGAATCATGATGATACTCCATTAAAAAAACCCAACACCCTCCATTTCTATGTCTAAGCCATAATGTCATATGTTGATATATTATTTGGTAATAAAAGTAAAAAGACCAGAATAATTCATTGTACCAGTCTCTGAAAGCTAAACTTGCTTCTTAAAGGTGCATATCACAGTCAAATAGGAAGAATCTTGTGTAATTTTAAACTCTGGAAGGGTGGGGTTTTTTTACTTAACTCACAAATCAGATAAAATTGTGTGTTTTCTGAGATGAAATATTTATATTTTTAAGAAACATTTAATATAAATTTTTAATATTTTCTTTGATGTTTCTATTTAATTTGGTTCTTTTTTTCCACCTTTCCTCTACTTTCTTTGTCAAATTGGAACTTTTTAATACTTCCTTGGCCTTTGAAATTTTAAAACATTAAAGGATTGAAAATAAAACTACTCAAACCAACTCAAAATATACTGGATATTTGTGGTGGGTTGATCCTGATTGGATGCCAGGTGCCCACCAAAGCTACTCTATCACTCCTTTTCCTCAGTTGGACATTGGTTGAGATGAAGACTGGGAGATACTTCCTAATTACTGTCGCAGGCAAAACAGACTTGGTTTAGGGAAATTAGTTTAATTTATTACCAATCAAATCATAGTAAGATAATAAGAAATAAAACCAAATTTTAAAAAACCCTTTCCCCCACCTCTCCCTTCTTCCCAGGCTCCACTGCATTCCCAGTTTTCTCTACCTCCTCCCCCTGAGTGGCGCAGGGGGACGAGGAATGGGGGTTATGGTCAGTTCATTACATGTTGTTTCTGCTGTTCCTTCCTCTTCCTACTCTTTTCCTGCTCCAGCATGGGGTCCCTCCCAGAGGAGACAGTCCTTCATAAACTTCTCCAACATGGGTCCTTCCCTGGGGTTGCAGTTCTTCACAAACTCCTCCAGCATGGGTCCCTTCCACAGGGTGTAGTCCTTCAGGAACAACCTGCTCCAGTATGGGTCTCCTGTGGGGTCACAAGTCCTACCATCAAACCTGCTCCTGCTACCAAAACCTTGCCACACAAACCCAATATAATTTTATAAATTCTCTTGCAGTCAGTCTGTGAGGAAATGTTTTAACATTTTTCAAAAGTAGTTTGCAGAGCATTTAATTTAGATGTACAGTAAAAATTTGGGGAAGAAAATAATTTCAACATTTAGTCTCTTTTAAAAAAGTTTTTTCAACTACTTGCTATTTTATAACTAACATGTGTTTTTTAAACCCTTTTCTGTAGTGAAAAAGTTAACTGGTTCTGTGGTAATGCAGGTACCAACAGTATCGGACTGAGATATCACTAAAAGATATGGAGACCATTTGACTAGTACATGTTTGTACTGTGGCAGACTGTATAAAATGGATTTTTCTAAAAGAAAATTGTATGTCTGCAAGGGAGAACAAAGCATTCAGGTAGTTTCTAAACTACGTTCAGGAAGTTCCTAAGAACCCTATCTGTCTGTTTTTGGATGTTCATCATTTGTGGTCTTCCTGCAGAGTTTTATGTGTGCTGTTCTTGGATACCATATGAATCAGCAGTGTGTGTGGTGTTTTATCCATCTGACAAATAAAACTGAAGCAACAATATTTTTAATATTCTTCATTGAGATTGGGTCTATTAAGAGAACTGCTTTCTTAAGTTGCATTGGAGTTAATTTATGTGACCCAGTAGGTCTTTTTTTAATTTCTGTCATTTACTAGTTAGAACAGGCAGTAGAAAACAGCCTTTTATGAATGCATCCCAAGCAGATGGTACAACCGTCTGTGTACTGAAACAGATGCCATATACAGAAGCCTTTTCCACATAAAATCAAATCATGGTTGTTCTACATTCTATTGTAAGTTTTCTTCGTGTCCTGCATTGCTGGATTGAACTACATGAGAATAGAATTCTATGATTTCTTTCACCTTGAGAAAGGAATGAAAATTAGATTGTTCATCTGAAGCTATCCCAGTGAGAGAAAATATGCATAAATATGCTTTGGAGGGGATTTGATGGTATAAAAGTAATGATATAATTGAGATGCAGGTTGAATTGTCCAACCTACTTTTAAGGTCAGGGTTAATACCTGAATAAGTGTATTCCGTAATGTTTCTCCAGTGTTCAAATGATCTCATTAAGTTATTATTCCTTGAGCATGACAGTTATTTCTCAGCAGGATATAAAATAATTTTTTTTCACTAAATACCTGTGCTGATTTTGGCTGAGAAAGAGTTCATTTTCTTCACAGTAGCTAGTATGGAGCTGTGTTTTGGATTATCAAAAAAATTGATAATACAGAGCAGTGTTTGCTACCGCTGAGCGGAGCTTGCACAGTGTCAAGGCCTTCTTTGCTTCTCACACCATCCCACCAATGAATAGGCTGGGGGATGCACAAGAATCTGGGAGGGGACACAGCTGGGAAAACTGACCAAAGGGGGATATTCTGTACCATATGGTGTCATGTTCAGTATGTAAAGCTGGGGGAAGAAGAGGGAGATGCTCAGAGTTATGGCATTTTGTCTCCCAAAGTAACTGTTACATCCTAGA